CGAAACCTGCACAACCACATCATCGAGGTACAAGCATGGTCTCTGGAGCTAGACTGCTTGCATTTGTTGAAATTCTAACTCCACCATTTAATAGCTGTGGGGTCTTAGGAAAACCACTTAACTTCTCTGGGCCTCAGTTTTTTCATTTGTAATGGAGGTAATAATGGTACCTAACTCATAGACTTTTTTATAGAGATTAAATAAGTTAATATTTGCGATCTGCGTAGAACAGTGTTCAGCTATATAAATGTTTAATTAAAAAAGAAAATGCCCTGCAGATCTAAGGCATATGATCCAAGTGAGGCCAGCATCCTGTCCTGGGATTGATTTTCAGAAGTGAAGAAAAGAAGCTCTTTTTCCTATTGCAATTTCTAAACCGGGGCTTCTGGTGACCACGATCCTCACCACGTGGCAAAGGCATCTCTGCTGAAAGAGAATGAGGCCAGCCTGCAAGGATACACAGAGTCAAGCAGAAACGAGAGCTGGAGAAAGTCTTGGCATGGTTGAATGCTATTTTCTGTGATCCCTGCAGTTCTTCCTTCAATTCTGTAGCTACCCAGGTATCTTTCTCAGCTGCATGAGCCAATAAACTCCCTGTTTTATTTTTGTTTAAATTAGGTGGCTTTGTTTTCTGTCCCTTGCAATTGAAACAATTCTGGCTTATCTATGTGCCTTAGATCAGGGGTTGCAAATTCAAATGCCAATAGGAGCAAGGCAGGTCAAGTGTGGAAAAATCACTTTTTATCTACTATAAAAACAGCCGGGCAAGTGCAAGGTCAATAGTGCCTGGACTCCATACAAGTGATTTCACAGGGCATGGAGTAGAATATGGAGAACTGTCAGGCACAAGCTCTGTTTGAACATTACAGTCCATTTTACCGCGAGAGCCAGTTTAGAAATATCTTCTCATTTTTTTTCCCAAAAGCAGCCATAAATCTGTGTCTGTCCCAACTTTTAAATATTAGGTCAAAATTTTCTACAATATTGTGCAGGTTAAAGGAAACACATCTGCAGAGAGATGTGTCCCCAGGGTTGCCAGTTATATTCCTAGTTGATCCCATAGGGGGTTAGCCTAGGAGTCTGAATATAATCAGAGTCCTGCCACTTCAGGTCTGGGAGTCAACCTTTGACAGATGGTTTCTGGATTCCCCTTTTCCAGCCCCACATCAAAGCTAGCCTCTGTGTAAAGGGATTCCCCCGTTGTCTGGCAGACCAGTCTTCTTCTAAACTTCTCTCTTTTTCTTCCTACCCTCAGGCTGTATTTTTCTTGGTGTGTTGAGGGGAGGAAGAGAGGAGTTGTTTGCTGATAGAGTAGGCCTGCCAGCCAAAAGTGAACCCACAGCAGTTTGATGCTCCAGTTTTGCTTGGGTTTTTATGGCTCTTGCAGCTGGGACCCCAGTGCCCACGGCAAGAATGTTAATGACCAATCAGGTAAGTAACAAAGGGGAAGGCTCTTCTGGAAGTCTCTGAGGACAGACCCAAGGAGGCAGCCATCAAAAACCAATGCTTCTGTCCTGCTGAATCCTCAGCCCAGCTCTACAGAAGCATCGCTGCTTAAAACAGGGCAGAGTAAGGGGAACGTCTACTTTAACATGGGGACAACAAGTCAGGATTTGGGGCTCTCCTTGGAAGGCTCTTTTCCTTACTTTCATTTCATAAGTTAGGAGGAAGGAGCCCCTTGTGATGCTCCAGCTCTTGTTGGAGCAGAAGGAAAAGGCCAAGAAGTAATTTTCTGAGAAATGCTCCAAGGGATTTGAAGACAGGGCTTGTTCCTACGTAAATATAAAACAAGAGATTCTCAGACTATTTTCAGAATGAAATGAGGTGGGGAGATGAAGCAAAGGGCAGGAAATGCCCCCTCCCCTAATTTGGAGACTGTGAAGAAGGAAACCAGGAAGGGCTGTCTTAGACACAGTCTCTAGCATCACCCCTTGAGGACCCAGCAGCAGCTCTGTCCAAAATCTTGCTGCTGAGATCACTGCTTCACGTGGGATGCAGGTATGAGTCAGGGCAGTTACAGTTACCTCCTGCAGTGATTTACGGGATTTCAGAGTCTAGAGGAATGAGTTAGCCAGGATTCTAGACCTAGTTCCTTGACATCATAATTCCAGCCATATTTGCCTGCTCTGTGTCACGGTCATCCTCTCCCAGAGCCTCAGTCTGGCATTCCCCTTGAACTTCACCGTTTCACTTTCTGACCATGGACTTCTGCCCTGCCGTCTTTCTCTACTCTTTGAGCCTATACCAATATCCATTCCCAGCCCGTTTGTTTTTGCCCTATAGCTCTTCTCTGTCGCAGCCCCTCACACGGGGCACCATCTGTCGCAGCGGCAGCGATTGTCGGGGCGGCAGAGACAGTAACCAATGCCACAACTCTTACAGAGAAGTGGGGCCAGGAGGGTCACTCTGAGGAGTCGAACCTCGGCTTCAGTCCCAGGAGTTTATTTATAGTCAATACAGCAAGTAGTGAAGCAAATAACAGAACAATGGGCTTTGGGTGAATAACAATAAGTTTCAGGCAAGGGAGGAAGAATTCAGGTAAACAAGCCAATCAGTAACGGGTTTGGAAAAACAAGTCGTGACAAGTCTCAACATGTTGGGGACAAGTAACGGGTTTGGAAAAACAAGTCGTGACAAGTCTCAACATGTTGGGGACAAGTCTCAACATGTTGAGCAGCATAGAGGCCTTTATACATCCATATTTTAATGGCACATATCCCCACACTTCTCCACCCACTACAGCTCCACCAAGTGTGGGTATGAGGACAGTTGGATTATTAAAATCATACTCTCCAGCATGCTCAATTCTTTTCACCTCCTGTCTTGCCCTTACATCTACCAGGGAAATCACACACACAGATTTCTGATTTCCAACTTCAGCTGAGTCCTCAGATTTTTTTAAATGACCAGCAGACATTTTGAAGGAAGGACCTGGGATAAGGATTAGAAGGTTGAGAGGTGAAGTGGTAGAATGAATGAGCTCAACCAGACATGGGAGGAAGGCAGAAAGAGTATGTGGTCAATAATACCAAATGCCACAGAATAGCATTCAGGGTCAAGCAGGATGAGAAAGGCTATAGGAATTTACCTTTAGGTCACTGATGACCTTTCGGAGCACTACTTCTGCGGAGGGTGAGTGCAGAAACCAGACTGCAGCAGCTGAGGAGTGAATGGAACATGAGGAAGTAGATATGAGAAAAGAGACTTCTCTTAAGGCATTTGGCTGGGAAGCCGGGAAGAGTGTTTAACGGCCTGAAAGCACATGAGTTTGGGAGTAGTATGGGCAGACAGTCCTGGAATTGAGCCTTTTTCCACCACTTGGCAAGTGTGTGAGCTTGGGAATGTCATTGAACTCCCCTAAGCCTCAGTTCCCTCACCTATAAATGGAGACAATATCACCTACTTCATTGGATGGTTGTGAGGATTAATCAAGATAAGGTAGATAAATCACTATGCCCTTAAAAAGAAAAACAAAACAACAAACCGGTTGCCATCGAGTTGACTCCGGCTCATCGAGACCCTATAGGACAGAGTAGAACTGCCCCACAGGGTTTCCAATGAGCAGCTGGTGGGTTCTAGCTGCTGACCTTTCGATTAGCAATTGCTTTAACCACTGCGCCACCAGGGCTCCACTATGCTCTTTGGCACATAATAAATCATCCCCCTCCTCATATTTGCAGATTCATGGGAAGAAGCCAGTAGAGAAGGAAAAAATAAAAGATTCTGGAGTAGCTGGTAATTGGTGGGGTATGTCCCAGAGGAGATGGGAGACGATGAGGTCAACGACTGCTTCTTCTTCTGAGAGAGGAGAAAATGAAAGGATAGAGGAAGGCACAGATCAAATTTTGAAGGAAAGAGGTTAGAAGTTGTGGAAGTCTACCTCATAAGGCCTCTACAATGATCTCAGAATGATGAAACTCTCTCAGCCTTCAATTCACCAGGTTCCTTTTCCCATATGACCAAACAAATATTTGAAGAAGGTTGTCATGTCCATAAATCTTCTTTTTTTATAACTGAACATCAGTGGTTCCTCATATGGTGTGCTTGCCACACTTAACCACCCTCCTCTGGAGATCCTTCTAGTATGTCAAAGTGTGGACCCAGAACTAAGCCTAACATTTCAGATATGGCCTGATCTGTGACAGCCCAGGGGGCTACCATCTCCCTGCCTAGACACTTGTGATTCTGCCAACACAGTCACAGGTTGTTCAGGTTTCCGGCTGCCATGTGAGTCCTTTGGTTCATACTGAGCTTGCAGCCAACCAAAATGCCTAGATCCGTTTCACATACAGCATCGTTAAGATGGGTTTCCTTCCTTCCTTCCTTCCTCTTTTTTTTTTTTTTTTTTTGGCTTCTTTTAATCACTAAGTACACAATTCTACTTTTATTCCTTTAAAAATTTATCTTCATTTTGACCCATCCTTCTAGCCTTTGGGATGCAGTTCCCCTGTCCCCAGAGGAAGAAGCTGCATTTCAGACCTGTCAGGTGACTCAGCTCCATGACACAAAGAGTCTTTGATAGTTATATCCAGGTGTCTCTGTTTCCCTGGGGTACAACCTGGGACTGTGCAAGGATGCTTATGGTTCTTTTGAATGACCGTGAGGATGCACAGGGAAATGGATGCTAAGCTGGGCCAAAGACATGTAAGGCTTCTTTGGAGAAGTAGGTTCCTCCCTGAGGTATTGAGACACAGCTATAAAAAAAGGTTCTGAGTAACATCTGCTTTCAAGTCCAAAACCACTCTTGGGAAATGAAACTAACTGTACTGTCTTAGTCATCTAGTGCTACACTAACAGGAATACTACAAGTGGATGGCTTTAACAAAGAGAAATTTATTCTCTCACAGTCCAGTAGGCTACAAGTCCAAATTCAGGGCATCAGCTCCAAGGGAAGGCTTCAAGTCCAAATTCAGGGCATCAGCTCCAGCGGAAGGCTTTCTCTGTCAGCTCTGGAGGAAACTTCACATCATCAATCTTCCCTTGGTCTGGGAGCTTCTCTGCGCAGGAACCGCAGGTCCAAAGGATGCACTCCTCTCCTGGCACTGTTTTCTTGGTGGTATGAGGTTCCCATTCTCTGCTTGCTTCTCTTTCCTTTTATCTCTTGTAAGGTAAAATGTGGTGCAGGCCACACCCTAGGGAAACTCCCTTTACATTGGATCAGGGATGTGATCTGGGTAAGGGTGGTGTTACAAACCCACCTTAATCCTCTTTAACATAAAATTACAATCACAAAATGGAGGCCAACCACACAATTCTAGGAATCATGGCCCAGCCAAATTGATACACACATTTTTTTGGGGACATAATTCAAACCATGACATGTACAGACAGAGAAATGCAAATAGCTACCTACTCTTCCTAGTAGCAAACGGAGGCAAGATTTCCAGCTGTCACCTATTAGTGCTCAACAAATATAGAATGAATAAATGAATGAAGTTCTATCTCTGTTCATTGATCCAGGCAGTACTTGGCTGGTACAATAAACTTGCTATAAGTGAAGAGAAGAGTGACCCTGGGGCAGGGAAGGTGGCTGCTTAGGCTCAAACCTAGAGAAGGAGGGTGCCCAAAACAAGAAAGGGGGTAGAGAAGGTGGCTGCCCAGGGCACAGATCTGTAGGGCATGGGTCAAAGAGCTGCCCTCAGCTGTCTGAGGGCAGAGGGTCAGACTCTGGAAATCTTTGCTTCTCCCAGGTCTTCTGGCATTTTGTTTTACTCTTTCCAGTTGCTGTCAAGTCAATTCCGACTCATGGCGATCCCTGGTGTGTGAGAGTAGAACTGTGCTCCATAGGGTATTCACTAACTGGTTTTTCCGAAGTAGATCACCAGGCTTTCTTCCAAGGTGCCTCTGGGTAGACTCGAACGGCCAGCCTTCTGGTTAGCAGCTTAACCGTTTGCCATACCCAGGAAGTCCTTTTTCACTCTACCATGGGCATTTTATCCTACCTTCTGTTACCTCTTTCATCATTTCTCCTGGGAAGAGTTCATGTGAAGATTAATACAAAACAAAACAACCATTTTGAAAAGCCAGTCATTTCATTCCTACATTCCCAAGAAAGAGTTGATGCAAAACCAGTTCTCAGGACTCACAGCTATCCTTGCTTCCATCGGCACAGCGTGCAAGGGAGGTGCAGCCGGGAAGAAACAAATACAGTTGCTCTCACCTTGGAGGGAGTAAACTGAGGCTAAGACTCAGCTAGGAAGCGAGAGGTGGCAGGGACAAATAGGAGGCACCCACTAGTGTTTACAAGGACAATGGTGTTTACAGGGACCACGTGAGCTACATCAAATTTTCACCATCTCTATCAGGAGAAGATATGAGGATTTAGAAACCAGGTTTTTCAAAGACACTTGTAATTAGAAATGCAGGAAGCAGGGCATCAGCTTCTTGACTTGATTATTTTTATCTTGTTTTGGTAATTGACTTGAAATAAACAGTCTTTTGAAACAAGTCTTATTTTCTCTATTAAATTGTAAACTCCTTGAGGACGGAGACAGTGTCTTTTTCGTCTTTGTGAGCCTTCATTGTGCTGAGAACAGTCCCTTATACATAACAGGTGCTTAATAAATATTTAATAAGAGTAATCATAGTAAGTGCTTTTCTCACTCAGAATGTGCAGCTCCTGATTCCACTAATATTTACTGAGCCCCTACCGGATGCCAACCAGCACTTTAAGCACTTCGCAAATGTGAACTTGTGAATGGGGAGGTTGGGCTCCTTCCCTCAAGATACTTGTCACATGGTTGTTAATGACTTGCCAACGTGGTGTTAGGAGAAACTAGCAGTTCTCAGAGCTGCAGAAGGCACATACAACCTTGTTTCGAATCCCACAGTTCTCTTATTCATAAATGGACCCTCAATATCAGATGATAGTGAAACATATCAAGAAATGTTTCCCATTTTATTTTGTCACTAAGAAAGCTGCCATTGTCTGATCTCAGCCAAGATGGAGTCAGGTAGGAACATAGCTCCTTTGCCTGATCTCTGGCTCCCTGGAAATTTCCTAAGATGTTTCTGCTGGCCTAATAGCACTGTAAATTTAGCTGTCCTTCAAGAACTGAGGTGGGATTTGAAGCTTTACTCTCTAAGGGCCATGACCCTTAAATGGTAGGGATGATTAACAGACCACCCAAGGTGGTCCCCGACCATTTTCTTAGTGTCTATAACAGGAAAGGTGTCTTTACTGACGTGTCTGGAATTAATTATTCTTTTTTTTTCCCAGCAGCCCTTATTGGCATCACCGGCAGTGGAGCTATTCCTGTGAGGATTTTTGCTGTGCAACGGCACAGGGTATGTGATGTGGCAGAGACTCCTCCTACTGTGCTCGTTACCCATTCTACCCTTCTTTCTTAGTGATGAACTCCCCAATATTTAGCTGGCACACAGAAAAAGGGTGCCACTTCCAGCCTCCTTGCTGTCAGGTATGGTCACATGTCTATGTTCTATCCTTGCTGTTAGGTGTGGTCAGGTGTCTATGTTCTATCCAATGATTCAAGAGAAAGTGGTATGTGCAACTCTGGAGGGTGTTGGAGGTTGGGGGTGGGGGGAGTAGAGGGATGCATATGCCTAAAGAAGCTGAAGATGGTGAGAAAGCAAGATAAAGAGAGACCTTGACTCAAGGCTTAGGGGATACTGAACTTCTGTTAAGGGCGATGGTATAATTTGTGAATGGATACGGGTGATGGTTGAACAACAGGATGAACGTAATTAATGTCAATGAACTATATATGTGAATGTCAAGTGTTTTGTTACCACAAAAAAAGCAAAATTAAAAGAGAGAGAGAGGGAGAGAGTTCTTGACAACTTCAGGAGGCCTAGGTCCAGACTTCATTTGCAAGAGAAGGAAACAGAAAGAGGAATGATTTCTCTCCTTTAAACGATTTGGGGGGAGGGGGTGTTTAGGGTCATTAAAAGCTGAATCTAACTCTCATTGGCACCCTGGCAGGGCATGAGGTCGCTTGTCCCACTGAAGTCACCTTCAGCCTGAAGTTTTGAAGACCTCTAGAAATGGAACACATACTCCAACAATTATTTTCCAAGTTGTGGGCTGGGATCCAGATTGCCAATCCCTGTGACTACTGCTAGAGCCCTGGCGGCGCAGTGGTTAAGAGCTTGGCTGCTAACGCAAAGGTTGGCAGTTTCACCAGCTGCTGCTTGTAAACCCTGTGGGGGCAGTTCTACTCTGTCCTATAGGGTCACTATGAGTCAGAATCAACTAAACGGCAACAGGTTTGGTTTGGTTTTTTGATGGCTACTGCTGATTAGCTCTGGGAAGATTGGAAACAAGCTCTGGGGGAATTCAAACAAGGAAGGGATACTTGGGGAGAAAACCCCACTGTGATCTAACAATTTTGCATAAGCAAAGTAGGAGCAGTGGTTATGTGTTTGGCTGCTAACCAAAAAAGTCAGCAGTTCAAATCCACCAGCCGCTCCTTGGAAACCCTATGGGGCAGTTCTACTCTGTCCTATAGGGTCGCTATGAGTTGGAATCGACTCGATGGCCATGTGTGTGGGGTTTTTGTTTGGTTTGCAAGGTTGTGTTGCTAAAGGCACAGTGGCGACAGATTACATAGTTATGAGGAAGAGAGGGGAATGATTTTAATAAGCAGCGAGAAAGTGTAAGGCAGCATTTTACAGACTGTTGCAGGGTAAAAAACATCACAAAGTGTAGTAAAGCAAAAAGAAAGTTTTCTTCGCCCTGCATTTAAAGAGGCAAAAGTTGGAAAAACAAGCATGCTGTCAGAGCTAATGTCTGCCCGAATCCAACAAAGTATTACAGAATAGGCAAGAATGGGAAAATGGACAAGCATGGTGCTAGAGCCATGTCTGCCCAAGTCCAGGCAAATATTACAGAATAGACAAGAGTGGGAAAACAGACAAGCATGCTGCCACAGCCAAGGACCCTTACAAAGTCATCAGTATATATTAACACTACAAATGGGCAAAACCATTGAAAGCTTCACCTTTTCACAGATTGGCTAGAAACTGTGATCCTACATTTTTAACTGACTTTCTTAACAATCATTGGTACAGGTTTCAATAAGGACAGTCAAGAAGGTCTTCACTGGTCCAACAAATTTTCTATTCACTAAATGCTAATAGAATAAGAGTGGAAAGTCTTTTGTGTTCTGTTTGATTGGTTTATGTGAAAGGTTCCCTAAAAGATATTTTCCAAGATTGTCCTAGCTATTGTCTTTATATCTCAGGGCCCAGCTGATGTGTCCTTGTGAGTCCTTGTGAGCCCAGCTGCAGCTGGGTCACATTCTCTATGCTCAAGGACGGATAATAATGACTCCAATATTATTTCCTAAATCGAGACTCAAGCCTCTCCATTTAGGTTTCTCTGATATTTTTAACCCCTTTCCCTCTCTCTCTCTCCTTTACCTGGAGAAATACATTGCCTTTGATTGCTAGAAACCAGTTTACACTTCAACCAGCTAGTAGTTGGGTCTCTTTATTTATTATTATTTTTTAAATAATATTTCCTTGTGTTTTTGGTGAAGGTTTACACCACAGTTTAGGTTCCCATTCAACAATTTCTACACAAGTTGTTCACTGACATTGTTTACATTCTTCACAATGCTTGAACATTCTCATTATTTCTATTCTGGTTATTCCAAGTTACCAAAACCAAACCTGTTGCCATCCAGTCAATTCCGACTCATAGCAACGCTATAGGAAAGAGTAGAACTTCTCCATAGGGTTTCCAAGGAGCGGCTGGTGTATTCAAACTGCTGACCTTTTGGTTAGCAGCCAAGCTCTTAACCGCTACACCACCAGAGCTCCTATTCTGATTTAGGTCTCTTTAAATTGCAAGTGATATTGATTGAGACAGGGAAGGGAGAAAGGGACTGAGCCCCTAGGCAAAGAATCCTGAACTAAAAAACATGTGCTTAACTAATGACACAAAACCCATATCTTGGAACATGCAACAAAGAAAGAACAAACAACCCACCCAGCTCTCACTGTACTTCCTTGATAAGATGTTTTTCAGAAGAACCTGCCAGATCTGATCCCTGGAGCATGCGTAGACATCTGCAAGGTGACGGACAGACCCGCGACAGGAATCGAACCGGCACCACGGGGGGGAACTGCGCAGTCCTGCCATCCAGTCCCAGGAGCCTTTGTTAGGGGTTCCATCTTGGGCTGCCTCCTGCCCGCGTACCTAATCTTCATAACTAAAGATGATGCCTTTTTCTGCCTAAAACCCTTTATAAGCCCTAGCCAATCCTTTCTTCAGGGAGACAAAGGCTAGCGTTGCTTTGTCCTTCTTTGTCTCCGCTCGCGAGCTACTTTTGCTCAATAAAGCTTCGTTCATGCAGAAAACTTGAGCCTCTCCTAGTCATTCTTGGTCAGTAGAAGGCAAGAACCTCACAGGGGCTGCCCAGGTTGAGCACCCTGGCAACAATATAAACTCCAATTCAAACCGATTTAAGCAAAAAAAGATAATACACCAGCTCATATAATTGGTAAGTCTGGGGACTTCACACACAGCTGGATTCAGGTGCTTTAACAATATCATCAGGCCTCATCTCTTGGCTTTGTTTTCCTCTATATGTGACTCTACCTCCACCACGATGGCTACCAGCAGCCTTAGGGCCACATCAAGCCGGTTTAGCAAGGCCTGTGGAAAGCCAGACCCTCTTTCCCAGAAACCAGCCAGTTGCCCTTGAGTCGATTTGGACTCATGGTGACTCCCATGTGCTCCAAAGGTTTTCAATGGCTGATTTTTTTTGAAGTAGATCTCCAGGTCTTTCTTCCAAGGCTGCTTTGGGTGGACTCAAACCTCCAACATTTTGGTTAGCAGCTAAGCATGTTGACCTTTTGTACCACCCAAAGACTCCCTTTCCCAATAATTCCAACAAAAATCCTGGGCTGACTCTCGTTAGACTGGCTTGGGCCATGCACCCATCCCTGAATCCACTGCTGATTAGCCAGGCCTGGGTCATGTGTCAGTCCTGGAGTCTGAGTGGGGTCAGCCCCACCAGTACATAGTGCATGATGAGTAGGTGAGGGCAACACCCCAAGAAAAAGCAGGACAGTGCTAAGCAGTCAAAACATTTTTTTTTTTCCTTTTACATGCAGGGGCACTTGGATTTCAAAACTCCTGCCTAGGAGAGAAGCCTGGCTTACTAATTTCAGCACTCTTCACTGGAGAGGCACATAGGAAGAGAAATTAGAAGGAGGAGGCTTTAAGGGCAAGAACTGATTATTTTATAAGCTGAGAGCCTAGAAGGGTCTGGGTTAAGCAAGGGTGGTGCTAAGGGTGTGGCTACTTGCTGTGTAGTGGGGAGAGTGACCCTGGGGCAGGGGCCTTGGAAATATGTGTGAGGATATCTTTTTACTGAAATCGTGGCAAAATCTCCCTGAACTCAAGAGCAGTAAGGCAGGGGATGAGGGGTGCCGGCTGGGTGTACCCACAGGAAACCCCAGTTCCCTAGCAGATCTAGCCCGGCAGGACGTGTAGGTAGCTCTCCTTCCTGGCCCACTACACTCCGAGAGAGCGAGAGAGCAAGAGCAGGGAGTCCTGCTGTCAGCACAAACCCCACCCCACCCACCCTGCCAGGGATCAGAGGCCTCAGGGAAATGAACAGAGGGAGGCAGAGAGGTGGCCCAGATGCTCCACCTCGGGGAAAACACCAGGGCCCCACAACCAGGAGTATCCTGGTGGTGTATGAAAATTGCCCTGATCCAAAGTTACAGGTGTGAGGATCAGAAAGGCAATCTCTGCTCCCTCCCCCTCCCCCTCCCCCTC